GAGTCCGGGACCAGGTGGCTTAAACTCACGCCGGGTGCATGTGCGTGCGTGCCCAAGATCCCGAGAGGGGAAGGGATTGCGGTATGACCATCCCCCTGGGGGGTGATTTCTCACTTTCTGTCTCTGTCTTTCTGGTGAGCACACGCGCCCTATAGCAACAACCTCTCCAAAACCAAAAAGATTATAAATGAACTGGAAAACTATCTGCAGTCTGTCTGTCTGAAGTCAGGGGTTCTGTATGTATAGGGAGACCGTGACAGAGAGTAAGCAAGACCCCACAGAGAAATAGGCAACAGGGAAAAGCAGTACACGCACACACAGACACACACACACACACAGACACACACACAGACACAGACATACAGACACACAGAGACACACACACACAGATACACACACACACAGACACACACAGAGACACAGACACACAGACACACACACACACAGACACACACACAGACACACACAGACACACACACAGACACACACACACACACACACAGAGCAACCTAAACAACAAATAGAAGAATGGAAAGTAGAACAAAGAGATAAAACTTTTCCTGTGGATTGGCAAGTCTCTGGCCGACCACAGTGTGGCCGAGGTGTGCGTTAACAACCCGTCCCCGTGGGTAGGGAGCACACTGATGACCCTTTTTGTAGGGCAATTCGTCAGCATTTCAGTTTTTACATTTTAAAATGTGTATGTCTTTGATTTATCAGTTCTACTTCTAGTAATTTTTCCGTAATTGTATTGAGGTGTATATAAGATGCACACTTAGGGGTGTTTATCACAGCAGTGTTTGTAACAGGAAAACCGAACAGAACGACACTGGGAGCCCGTACGCCCCCAGCAGCGCTCGGAGGACCAGTGAAATCACCGTGGTACATTTATGGGGTGGACACTTTTTTAGTTCTTAAAGTTGTGAATTAGGTTGGTTTGGATGGGCTTGGAAAACCTTCCAAAACATATTAAGAGTGGAAGCAAGAAACAGTCAGGCTTACGGGTGAGTCTGCATTTGCAGGTTTAAAAGTCACACACGATCTAGACTTGAGAATGACGCGGGCCGAGCCTGGGAGGGCGCGCAGGGGACTGCTGGTGGCCGGCCTCCTGGGGCCTGCAGTGTGGGCTGGAGGTGGGCCACCTCCTTCTGATGGGCTCACGTCCTGCTCCTCCTGGGCAAGTGCCATCCCTATGTTTGGTTTGTTCTACACGAATTTCTGTGCTCTCCTTGGGCTTTCCAGACTTCCCTCGCCCTGTGCTTTGTGCTGATGTTCGGAAACTCCATGCTGCTGACTTCTTACTACGCATCGTCTCTGGTCACCGTGTGGGTAAGTGTCCCCTGAGTGTGCGGCTGCTCCTGAGCCTCCTCCAGGGCCCACAGTCGAGCATCCGTACGTGGAGCGTGCTCAGAGACTCCCACGGGGAGAGTTAGGCCGGGAGCGCCTCCTCGCTCAGCCCCTCTGCCCTCTCAGTTTCTGCAGCTTTCGGTTACCCGAGGCTCGGTCCTGGGCTTACTTTAGACAGGGTCTTAACCTTCCTCTTTCTTTCCTAACTCAGCTTTTCTGCTTTCCTGCTCTGCCCTGGGGCCCCGTCCCCTCGGCTGTCTCACGGTGGCCTCTTGGTTTCGCTGTGCTCACACAGCTGGGGTCCTGGCTGCGGAGGTTCCCGCGTCCCTGCGGTGTGGGTGGCGTGCCTGGGCGGCCACTCAGTTCCGCTCTGCTGGCTGAGTCCCCCAGGCTGTCTGCCGAAGCCGAGCGATGCCACTCTTGTTAGGGTGACTTTCTAAACGCGCGTTTCCCCGCAGTGCCCGGGCTCCGCGATGGCTGAGCCTTGTGTGCAGTGGGTTAGTGGGTTCCCAATGACGGCTGCAAACCGGAGTTCCCCTTAGTTTCAAGCGCAGGCCCTCGGGTACGAGCCGGCCTCCTGAATCAAGCGTGTTGCACTGCCTTCACTGAAAAGTGCCCCCTGGAGCAGTCGTTCCAGTTACGCAGGTCATTTGGCGTCCCTGGTTTCTAACACCCTTTCACGGATTTGCAGCCTCCTGCTTCACTGTCTCGCTTTACGCGTCATTACTAAGAGTGTTTCCCGGGAGTGCGCTTCTTCCCGGTCCACGCCAGCGCCCGTCTAGGGTGTGGGCTTCGAGGAAAGTTAGTCACACAAGTTCGCGGCTACACTGATGGCGCCGTGTTCTCGGCAGGGGGGGGCCAGGCTGCTGCACCCTGGGGTTGCTACGGCAGGTCTTCAGTCGGCGCGCTCCCGTGGTCCTCGCGGTGCACGCTGGTTCTCCAGCCCACGGGTGAAGACCGTGACTCCAGCTGCTCGTCGGGGGAATCCCTGGGCGATTGCTGCCCCCCTGGGCACAGTCTAACCTAAGTACCGGCTGTAGGGAGTTGCTCTTAGCTCGGGGGAACACCTGCAGTGTGGGAGGTAACACAGGTGCTTGACACGGATTGTGTCTTACGTGCAAATTAAGTGTGCTTGTGTGTATCTCGTGTACTTTGGGGACTTAAATGACACCCCCGGTTATAGATTATAGCACGTATATGTATATTTAACTGTAAGTGCACATTTACTTACATATTTATAATCACCTGGAACCCCGAATCATAGCAAATTCCATCTTCTGATATTTAAAACTTCTGAAAAGATTTAATTTGGGTTCACGTGTTTATAATTTATCTCTAATCATATTTTTGCCAAATTTAAAGTAGATTTAGTAATACAGTTTGAGAGTCTGTATACCTGGAAAAACTTAAGATTAGACAGAGGAGACGTAGGTAGTTGACCCTTTTAAATTTTATTTGTAGTTTATCCAAAAAATCAATTTTTTTTTGTTTTTTAGAGGTTTTTGCTATAGGGCACATGCGCTCACCAGAAAGACAGAGACAGAAGGCGAGAAATCACCCCCCAGGGGAGATGGCCACGCCGCAATCCCTTCTCCTCCATTCTCCTCTCGGGATCTTGGGCACACATGCACACGTGCCTAGCGTGAGTTTAAGCCACCAAGTCCAGGACTTGAACCGCGATCGACTACATGGGAGTCCAGTGACATAGCCGTTACCCTAACTGCTGGTCCCCAAAAAGTCAGTAATTTTTAACTTTAGGAAATCTTATCTCTAGATGACTGCTGTCTAAAACGAGCTTCTTGTATGCTTCTTGGTTCTCGTGTAAGTCTGCTTTGTAAAATTGACCGTAGAAATGTATAGGTGGTAACTCCCTTTTCAACTTCGCACAGTTACCGACTGACCTGCCTACTTCGGGAAAATAGGTCTCTTTCCTTACATCACTGACCTCAGGGGTGCACATGTGGTGATGCTGTGTGGGACATCAGCATCTCTCATCTTAGATACCCGGGAGCCCGCTCTCTAGAACTTTCCGGACTTGGACTCATGCCTGTAAGAGCTAACTGTAAACTGTATTACCTTCTCTGCTCAGGGTGTTCTGGCAATGAAACCATATTTCTTGAAAATGAATGTCTCCGAACTTAGTTTATGGGTAAGAATCAGTCTATTTTAATGCATATGTTTTTCCTTCTCTAAAATATATCACTGGTTTTATGTTTTATTTTTAAGGAAATGATCTATGTAATATAGAGGGATCTAACAGTTTCATAACGTATTAGGGCTCCATTTTAATGTGCCAAATTGCCCTTTTTGTGAAACAGGTTGAAATGAGTTCTGAATAAGTAGTTAGAGAATTCAGTTTTATTTGTTAGTGCAGGAAACTGTCAGTGGAAGCGAACTGTAACAGCTGCTGTGCGGATCTCCCGTAAACGCCCCTGCTCAGAAGATGTACGTGTCCACTGTCAGTCCAGGTTGTCGCCCCTTATTCTGGAGCGGTATTTTTCATTTCACTTTGAGATGTATTTTTTTAGCATTTTCTCTTGAAGGTAGATCAGATATTTATTTCATGTAGGATTAAAGCATTGACATTTTCTTCTTAGCATATGTTTATGGAATACAAAGCAGCAAAGTTATTTTTGTTTCTCTTTTTCTTTTTTTAGGTCATCCAAGGTGGTTTTTGGTTATTTGGAACTGTCATACTCAAATATCTGACATCCAAAATCTTTGGTATTGCAGATGATGTAAGTGCAACTTTTGCTTAAACTTCAAAGACGTGGGAAAAAAGCAAACAGGCTAAGAATGAATTTCGGGGTTACTGTTTTACTGCCCTTTAAAGCAAACAGGTGAAGTCTGTCACCTGCCGTTCTCCCTCTTTAGTGCAGTGGGGAGTGAGTGTGGTTTTGCCTGTAGTTCCTAGTCTCTACAATTCATCTTTGACAGTCTATTACCTGTCCTTCTATAGCGCACAGACTTCTAAAATTCAAAGCTCAAATTTTAAGATCTGTAAAGCCATTGTTCTTTAGCTTTTTTAAAAATACCTTTTCATGATAGACGAAGATGCCACGTTCAGAACCTTAGCATCAGACTCTGTTGGGTTGTCAGACAAGTCCTGTCAGATTTTTCTATGCAAACATGCATCATGACTTTTCTGACAGTCCACTGTATGGTCTCATTCTTTTTCCTCCTAACTTTCTGGTCAGTGCTTACTTATTATAAACATATGTAGCTATTTTAATCCAGTTAGTCTTTTTAAGACACGTTTTTGTTTGTTTTGGTATTTGGGTAGGAGAGAAGAGAAAAAAGAATTCTGCTTTGTAATGTAAGGAATTTTTTTCTATCCAAAATTACTTAGCCTGTTTTATTTTGGTGGTTCAATCAGTGCACCCTCAGTGAGGAGGCTGTCAAATATTTAATTTTAAAAAGAAAGCAACACAAGAACCAGTGGGAGAAGTAAAGCGCATTTCTTTTCTGTAATTAATTTTTATTCGTGATCTTTCATCCTGTGCTTGATTCTAACTGCGATACTGAAACTGGACTCTAGTTCTGGGGCTTCCAGGGCTCTTGCGTGGGGGCGCTCTCCTCCTCCCAGCCCTCTCCTACCTAAGAGCGGTGGCTTTCTTCTCTCACACGATGGGCGTGTACGTAGGTTTTGTGTGAACAAGGGAACTTTCTGCTTAAAGAGATTGAAAACAGCCGGGCCATTAAACGGGTGGTCTCCAACCTGCGGGAAGATTTCTGAACTGCGAAGCTGCCTTTGCAGTGTATTCTTTCCCTCGTGTGCCTGTTACGTGCCTGGCGGTGGAGTGTGTCAGCAGGGGCAGGGCACGAGCCGCTCCTGCAGCCGTAATGCAGGGGAGGCCAGGCCCGAGCTGCAGGGCTGCACGGGGAGGCTCAGAGGGCGGGGGGCAGAAGTAGCAGCTTGCAGAGGGGGAGCGCAGGCCCGGGTTATGCAATGCGTTTGCCCCAGCAAAGCCGCTGATTCGGGTTCAAATGACTGATCCTGTCTGTCATAGCCTACTGCTGCACCAGGGACAAAAAGTAGCTGCAGGCACAGTTCTTTCCATGCCGAGCGTACGTATCAGTGACCAAGGACGTCAGTTTATAAATTCTTAGTCTTGGCGTTGGACAGAGGACCAGAAAGGCAAGGCTGCCCCGCTCCCGGAAGCCCTCCCACCCAGCCTGCCTGCAGAGGTCCATGTGGTCCCTGCCCTGTGCCAGCCACGTGGCCGCATCCCCCACGTCCCTGTCTCCCATCTCGCTCTGCCAACGCTCTGCTGAACTGGCCGCTGTGGGGCGCTTTTTTCCATGGGATCTGCTAGCTGGCCACTGGGACTCCCTTCTCCATGGGGTCCCCCAACCTGGCCACTGTGGAGCACCCTTCTCCATGGGGTCCCCCGACCTGGCCACTGGGGCTCCCTTCTCCATGGGGTCTCTCCATGGGGTCAACTGAGCTGGCCACTGTGGGGGCCCTTCCCAATGGGGTCCCCAACCTGGCCACTGTGAGGCGCCCTTCTCCATGAGGTCCACTGAGCTGGCTGCTGTGGGGCGTCCTTTTGGATGGGGTCTGTCCAGCTGGCCACTGTGGCCAAAGTTTCTCCATTTTGCTAACTTTTCTTAGTTCCAATTCAAATTCTGGAGGCTTTTAAAAATGTCCACTTTTGGGGCAGGCAGGTGGCATGGTGGTTAAAGCACTGGACACACACATGGCCAGCCATGATTCAAGTCCCGGACCTGGCGGCTCGTTTTCTCACTTTCCCTTTCTCTCTCTGTCTCTGGACAAATTAAAAATAATGATAACAAATGGAATGAAATAAATGAATGGATAATTATTTTAAAAAAACAACTTCCAGTTTGTAAACACACAGTCTAGCATTTAAATTTCTGGGCTGCAGGGAAGACAGGCCTAGGTTAAAGTCGTAGCTGCTGCGCTTTCCCTGTGAGACAAACAGCACCTGAGGAGAAGCCCGCGTGACGGAGCTAGCTGCCGGGGCGCCTGGCTGTCCGCACCCCAGTGTCATGCGCGGGGTCGTCCCCCGCCTCTCGTCTGAGCGGACACGCACCGCTGTCTGTTAATGCGCGGTGTCAGGTGCACAAGTCAGCGTTGTGGCTTCTCTGCAGAAATGTTTAGTTACTAATTCAGCCTCTTCAGTTAGCTCTCTTCTTCATGTCATTTTGGTAAGTCTTGCTTCATTGGCTTCGAGAAATAAAAATACTGCTTTATCATTCCGTAAATCTCTCTCAGAACATTAGTAATAGCTCCTCTTCAATCCTGGTTTTTAAAATTTAAGTCTTTTCTGTTTGTTTCTCTCCTTGGGCTGTCTAGCTTCAGACATCAACTTTTTCTTTTTTAATCTTTATAAGATAATGAACATTTGGTTTAATTGTTTTCCTGTTATTTTTCTGTTTCATATTTCATTGATTTTATGAAATATAAAATATTATTCATTATTATTTTCTGCCTTTTGCTGGCTCAAGACTTAATTTATTCTTTTCTTAGTTTTTGTTTTCTTTTAAGATTTTTTTTTGTGCCATAGGGTATGTGTACTTACTGAAGAGAGAGAGAGACGGGGACAGAGAGGAGAAAAGTGAGAGCTCACCCCAAGGAGGATGGCCATGCTGCGATCCCTTGTCCTCCGTGCCCCTCTCAGGGTTTTAGGCATGTGCACTTACACCTAGTGGATCTTCAAGCCACTGGCTCTGGGACTTGAACCGCAGCTGGCCACATGGGATCCCTCACCTTAAACCACTATGCCATCGGCTAGTTCCTCTTTTCCTCATTTTAAAAATGAAATCTAGATTCCCAGTTTCAGACTTTTCTAAGATGGGTGTTTAAGGCTATACATTTCCCCCTCATTACTGCTTTGGCTGTATCTCATCAGTTATGCTTTGTTTTCATTTTCACTCAGTTCAAGATATTTTTTAGCTTTTCCTTACGATTTATTTTCCTCAGCTCTCGTCAGTTATTTGATGTGTATTGCCTAATTTCCAAATATTTGAATATTCTCCTCATTGATTTTTGTTTTTACTTTGATCCCTTTGTGTTTGGAGAACAAAGTTCAGTATTTTTAAACTTAACTGAGAGTCTCACGTGGCCTTGGATACCATCTACCTTGAAGGGTGTTCCACGTGTTTTGAAAAAGAATGTTTTTTCTACCTTATATATTCTTGCTGAACTTATTTCTAGTTCTGTCAGTTACCAAGAGTAAGATATTAAAATCTCACTGTAATTGTTACATCAACTATTTGCCTTTTCACTTTTGTCAGTTTTTGCTTCTAGGTGCATAAATATTTATACTTTTTACATCTTACAATCTAACTGTTTATCATTATGAAGTTTTCTTCTTTGTTTCTAGCAGTACCTAGTCTTTTTTGTCTTACATTAACATATTAATAAAGTATAATAAATTAATAAAATAATATAAAATCCCAGCTTTCGTGGTTACTTTTTGCATGCTGTATCTCTTTTTATGCTTTTACGTTCAAAGTAAAAACTTTGTGTTGTTGAATCTAAAATATGCCTTTTATACATGGCTTAGATTAGTTATACCGTTTTTATTCATCTATTCTGGTATTCTCTGTCTTCGGAATGTTTATGTGACTACTGCAGTTCATTTACATCTAATGCAAGTATTGATAAATTTCTGGATTTATGATTGCTATCTATCTACCTATCTTTAAATCTCTTCCCATTTCTGCCTCCTTTTGTGGTAAGTAATTCCTGGGTTGATTTTTTTTTTTTTACTAGGTATTTTTTAGTTATTTTCTTTTTTAAAAATTGTAACTATAGTCACCATGTTATACATAAGATCCCCAGATTAGTTCATTTTGTAGCTACAAGTCTGCGTCCTGTGACTTTCATTTCCCTGTTTCTTCTACACACACCCCAGCCTCCCCACCTGCCCTTGGCAACCACCGTTCCCCTCTGCTCCTCCGAGTTTGACTTTCTAGATTTCACGTGTAGGTGAGATCGGGTAGCATTTGTCTTTCTGTGTTTAGCTTATTGCACTGACTGTAATGTCCTCTAGGCCCATCCATATTGTTGTAAGTGTGTGTGTGTGTGTGTGTGTGTGTGCGCCCGTGCACACGCACGCACATGTATGTGACCTTATTTTTTTTTTAAATCCATTCGATAGTAGACACTGAAGTTGTTTCCGTATCTTGGCCTTATAAATAGCACTGCACTGATCTGGGGGTGCAGGTAGCGCCCAGTATGAGTTTAAGCCACCGGGCTCGGGACTTGAACTGCGGTCGACTACCTGGGAATCCAGTGACATAGCCATTACGCCAACTGCTGGTCCCCTCTTCATTATCTTTTAAATGATTGCTCTAGGGATTATAATATGCATCTTCGTGTATCACAGTGTGCCGACTGAACTGCGGTAAAATCGCAGGGCCTCTGCTGCATTTCGGTACTACTCCACTTCTCCCTATTCTGTGCTGTTGTTGTCATGTATGTCCCTTGTCCCTTCTGCATTTAAGGGGCAACAACACAGAGTTAAGCTTACTACTCTAGGCAACCTATGTTTCAAAGAAATTAAGAGGAAGACAGAAGTGTTTATGTTGGGTTGTCAGAAAGTCATGACGCACTTTGCATAGAAAAAACATGTCATGAGTTTGCAGCCACCCAGTGCACCGCCTTTACCTTTGGCCGCGTTTTTGCCATTTCTTTGCTCATCTCTGCCTGCGTCTGAGTGACCATGTAGTGTCATCTCCCTTCAGGCTGCAGGATTTCTTCTCCTTAAACTTGTAAGGCAGACCTGCTCACTCTGGATCCACTCAGGTTTTTTTCTTTTGTAATGTCTTCGTGCACTTTATCTTTTAAGACTAATTTTGTGGGATTTAGTTATTGGTTGACCGTTCTTTTCTTGTAGAACTTTTCGTCTCTGTTATTTCTATTCTTTTTTTTTTCCCCTTTTTTTGGAGAGGGTGGTTTTTTGTTTTTTGTTTTTTTTTGCTATAGGACGTGTGCACTCGCCAGACAGACTGTAAAAACAGAGAGACAGAAAGCGAGAAATTACCCCCCGGGGGGATGGCCATGCTGCAATCCCTTCTCTATTCTGCTCTCGGGATCCTGGGCATACATGCACACATGCCTGGCGTGAGTTTAAACCAGTGGGTCCGGGACTCGAACCACGGTTGACCACGTGGGAGTCCAGCGACTTAGCCATTACACTAACTGCTGGTCTCAGCCTCTGTTATTTCTATTGAGAAGCTGGTCAATATTAATATTAATAAAATAACATTAATGAGCATCGTTTTCTCTGCACAGGATGAGTTGCTTTTCTGTTGCTGCTGTTAAGATTTTTCTCTTTCATCTTTCACATTTAAGTTTAAGTTTGATATATCGAGATATGGAGCTTTTTGTGTTCATCCCTCCAGCTGTTTATCAAACTTACATATGTTACTCTTTTTCATCAAAAGTAGCAAGTTTAGGCCATTGTTCTACCAGCTCTGAATCCTGACTTGTGTCCTGTGGTTTTATTTGTTTATTGCATGGAATTAGTGTCTGTTGGAGCACCAGGAAAGTCATGATGCGTTTTTGTACAGAAAAATATAGAAAAATGTGTCACGATTTTCCCGACAACGTAAGAAGACGTTTTTCTCCTGCATGGCTGCTAGTGCCCCTGCCCAGGTTTTTTGTTTGGTTTCATGTTTACATTTGTGATTTTAGTCTGCTTTTCTTGGTGCTGTCCCGTGTGTGACCCAGGGCTCAGCCAGCGACTGGTTAGACGTGGCGCTCAGATACCGCGACTCCGACTGGCCAGCGCATGCGGAGGGCGGTTCGGTTCGGTTCGCAGCAGTGTGGGCGGGCTCCTGGGTTCCCGATCTGCTGGGAGGGTTTGCAGGACTCGCACTGCGATCCTCTGGGCAGTTACCACAGCGAACAAAAAGCGTAGTCGATGAGGAGGGAGCGTGTGGGGGAAGTGAGGGAAGCCAGAAGCCCGCCTCCAGAGCTCTCCCCCAGTCGAGTCGTGTGGGATGAACTTAATGTCCCAGGGACAAGTCGTGACAGTGTCGTCCACCTGGGAGGCTGTACAGACAAGTGCCGGAGGTTAACCGGGGCTGGTCACGTTGGGAGTCCCAGAGCACGTGGGTCTTCACGGCAAGCCGTGCCGTCCACTGTGGGGACGGTGACCTGCAATCTAGGATGCCAGCCAGAGCAGCCGTGTTCTTTCTGAGCACGGCTGGAGTTGGGGGACTAATGTTCCAGGGGTCCCCCCTCTGTGAGTGGTGTTAGCTCCAGTTCTTATAATGACTTTGGTTTTGTTTTCAGGGAAATGCTGGCCTTCTAGAATGGTGAGGAATTACTCTGTCTCTTGTTTTAGAGAACTTGCGTAGAATTGGTGTTATTTTCTCTTACATGTTTGGTAGACTTGGACAGTGAAGCCTTCAGGCTCTGGAATTTTCTCTGTGAGTAGATTTTCTTTACTACAAATTTAGAAAGTTATCTAAATCATTTGAAATGAGCTTTTATGTCTTAGAGGACCTTTGCCTAGTTCATATATATCATGAGTTGATTCATGTTTAAAAATTATTATTGAATTAAGTTAGCTCAAAATTCTCATTGCAAACCTCACATGTATGCATTTGTGAGAATTTTTTTCTGTTTTTATTTTTTTATTTTTTGGAGAGGTTTTTGCTATAGGGTGCATGGGCTCACCAGAAAGACAGAGAGAGAAAGAGAGATAGAAAGTGAGAAATCAACCTCCAGGGGGGATGGCCACACCGCAATCCCTTCTCCTCCATTCTCCTCTCGGGATCTTGGGCACGCACACACACACGCCCGGCCTGAGTTTAAGCTGCTGGGTCCGGGACTTGAACCGTGGTTGACTAGGTGAGAGTCCAGCGACACAGCCATTACGCTAACTGCTGGTCCCATTTATTGAATCCTTATCGGGATTTAGAATCACTATTAGTTTCTCATAAAGAGCTTAACTTTTTTTTTCGCCTTTTTTTTTTTTACTTTCTGATACAACTTGTGAAAGAAAAGATATATCAGTTCTTTGGAAGTATAAAACTCACCCGTATTAACCACCCGAGTTGGGGCCTGGGGGAAGTACAGTTGATTTCTTTTTCAGCTGTCTTGATGCTTTCCTTCTCTTTAAATTTTCTGTTTCTTCTTAATCGTTTTGGAGAGATGCATCCATTTCATCTACAGTTTAGAACTTATTAGTGACATGTGTAGCATATTCCTCTTACTCTAGTCCCGTGGCCTCCGTAGTTATCTTCTCCGTTCTCATCTCACTCGTCTGTGTCTCACTTCCTCCGTCGGCCCTGCTCGTATGTTTATTATTCAGTCTTTTCAGGGTTCGATTTTTTTAAGGTCCTCTTTGTTTTTTTGTAGCTCTCCCACAAATATGTGTGATTATATGTAAATCAGACATTATAAGAAAAAAATAGCATTAAAAATAAATTTTATTTTGTTACCAATTTCTTACTCCCATTTCTTTGGATTCTATAGCTTTTTCTGTGGGCTGAGGGCAAAAGCTTAGCGCTTTTGTTTTCACCTTCCTTAGTTTCTGATAAAATAATTAAAACCTAAAATCTCCCTCTAAGTAGTACTTTTTTGTGTATCTTACAAGTTGGTTATTTTATGCTTTTCTTCTGCAATTGGCATCTCTCTCCTTCCGAGTCTCCGCTGGTGACTGCACGTGTCTGTAACACACGCAGACTTGCCTTGCTGTTCATCTGACCAGCAAAGCGAGCTTTTACCGAAGTCTCTCCACACAGCTTCCGCTTCGTTCGTTCTGTGGGACAGTATAATCGCTAACCTAGGCGTCCTTGTTTCAGATTTCTCTGCTGTATCTTCTGTCTTCAACCTTTCTGCATGCTTTTCAGTATGTTTTTTGTAAACCACATAATGTTGAATATGTTCCCTTAAATCTAATTAGTGCACCTGTCTTTTTTTTAAGAGAGTTTTATTATTTTTTAGAGAGATTTTTCCTATCGGGAGTGTGCATTCACCAGAGAGATGGAGAGAGACAGAGATACAGGAAGTGAGAAATCACCCCCCGGGGGGCCACACCACAGTTCCCCATTCTCCTCTCAGGATTTTGGGCACACATGCGCACACACCCAGCATGAGTTTGGAGCCTCTGGGTCTGGGACTTGAACCATGGTAGGCCATGTGGGAGTCCAGCAGTGTAGCCATTGTGCACCTGTCTTAATTAGTGACCTTGAACTCTTGACATGTATGGCAGCGACTACACCATGACCGACTTCTCCATTTTATTGAGGGTTGCTGTTCTTACGTTACTTTCGGCGTTGTGTGTTCTCTACCGATTTCACACTTCAGAACCTTTCCTTCATCGCTTTCTTAGCACTCAGTTCTTTGTTTTTAGTTTTTGTCAAAGGGCGTGTGCACTTGCTGGAGAGAGACAGAGACAGAGGGACAGTGAGCAACCCCCCGGGGAGGACGGCCATGTTGCAGTCCCTTTCTCCCATCCTGCTCTGGGGATTTGGGCACGCACGGACATGCACCAGCATGGTTTTCGGACTGCCAGGTCTGGGACTTGAGCCGCAGGCAATGTGGGACCCAACGCCTTAACCTCCACGCCACCTGCTGCCCCCAGCACCCCTCCCCGTGTGGGTCTCACGTGGTCTGACTGCGGTCTGTTTTAGACGCATCTCCCTCCTTTCATTTAGTATTTGTTCTTTAGACAGTAACGAACTTGAAAGTTTGCTAGGTGGTCGGAAAAGTCACGACACATCTCTGCATAGAAAAAAATAGGTCCCGACTATTCTGACAACATGATGTGTTATGTCTTCGAGGCCTGATTCTCACTGTAAAGTGAAAAGAGTCCCACCTGCTTCTTGTGGGACATATGGTTCTTTGCCCTCCTCCAAAAGTGAGCGCACTGGGGAACGTGTAAACATGGACGCTCGGCCACCCGAGAGCTGCGTCCGGCCGGAGGGCCTCCCTGCGTCCCGCCCGTACCTCCCTGGCTCGAGGGACCTTCTCAGCCCCCGGGGTCCAGTCGCGTCGCCTTTCCTTTGGCTGTGGCCCTTTGTCCCTGCGTGGTCAACCGTGTGTGCCCTGCACCCACGTCCCCGATGGGCTTCTGTACACCGTGCCCACTGCGTGCCCCGGGACAGAGCCCGTGGGTCTTGGTGAGCGGAGACGGGGCGCCGTGGGTCGCCTGCAGCAGCAGGAGGCGAACTGCCAAGCGTGGGGCAGAGCACCTTCGGCAGGAGCCCGTCTGCTCGGGGCTCTGCGCAAGGCCGAGGGGCGCGCTGTCCCCGGGCCAGCGGGGCTGACTGCGCGCTGCCCGCTCCGTCTCTGCCAGGCTCACATCGGCAACTTGCTGACGTCCAAGTTCTTCAGCTACAAGGACTTCGACACGCTCCTGTACACCTGCGCCGCCGAGTTCGACTTCATGGAGAGGGAGGTGAGGCGCGCCTCGGTTCCCCTCTCCCCTCCCCGGCGGTGGGGTGGGGTGGTGGCCGCCTGTGCCCTTCCACGGCGCCCCGTGGTTCCCACGCCTCCGGTGCTGTCGTCTGAGGGAGAAGCAGGCGGCGCAGGGCAAGCGTTCCCGTCAGTCCAGCTCCTGGAGACGGATGGCCTTTCGTGCGTGGTTGGGAGGAAAAGTGCAGACCAGCAGCTTCTGGAAGGTGTAAACAGACGGCCCAGGCCGCCCCCCTCAGGGGCCGCGTAACCCCCCAGGCCGCGAGCTCTTAGGCCCCCGCCCATTTCCTGAATGATCTCATTGCTTTGAAATATCGCTGAGCACAAGATTCTCACTGACTTCCTAATTTTTTTAGAGAGAGAGTTGCTATAGGGCATGTGCACTCACCAGAGAGACAGAGACAAAAAGCGAGAAATCACCCCCGGTGGGGATGGCCACGCCGCAATCCCTTCTCCTCCACTGTCCTCTCGGGATCTTGGGCACGCACGCACACGCGCCCGGCGTGAGTTCTAAACCGCCCATCCAGGACTCACACCGCGGTCGGCCGTGTGCGGGTCCAGCGACGTAACCATTATGCCACCTGCTGGTTCCAAGCACAAGAGTTTTATTCCAAGAACACATTTTTCCTAAAAATCCATTCAGATGTTTAGACGGAAGCTGGGGAGTGGCCGAGTACACTATGAGGCAGGGGCCCTGGACGAGAGACTCCTTCCGTGGGTACCCACTCCCCCTTTCTCGTGGCGTGCTGCAGACGGGTCTGAGGGGGTGCAGATGGGAGGGCTTTGCTGTTTTAAGGGAGGGTGGCTTCACAGGGCGTCCCAAGCTGGCTTGGGTCGCCCTCTGGACTGTCTGTGGCCCGGTTTCCTTCAGAGCCCTGTTGTGTCCCCTGGCCAGGGTCCCCACGCCCTGCTCGCACTGTGGGAGCCTGCCAAGTTCCCACCTGGCGGTGGGGTGACCCCACAGGGCAGTTGTGCAACCGGCTGTTCTGACTCGAGGGTGTCCTGTAGAGGCGCCGTTTACTCTGCTGGCCCGTCTGTCCCCACTCAGTGCTGGCCACTCATCCGTCCCCACTCCCCGTCCTCACTGCCCGTCCGTCCTCGCTCCCCGTCCGTCCTCACTCTCCGTCCGTCCCCACTCCCCGTCCGTCCTCACGGTCTGTCCGTCCTCACTCCCCGGCCGTCCTCACTCCCCGTCCGTCTCACTCCCCGTCCGTCCTCGCTCCCCGTCCGTCCTCACTCTCCGTCCGTCCCCACTCCCCGTCCGTCCTCACGGTCTGTCCGTCCTCACTCCCCGGCCGTCCTCACTCCCCGTCCGTCTCACTCCCCGTCCGTCCTCGCTCCCCGTCCGTCCTCACTCTCCGTCCGTCCCCACTCCCCGTCCGTCCTCACGGTCTGTCCGTCCTCACTCCCCGGCCGTCCTCACTCCCCGTCCGTCTCACTCCCCGTCCGTCCTCGCTCCCCGTCCGTCCTCACTCTCCGTCCGTCCCCACTCCCCGTCCGTCCTCACGGTCTGTCCGTCCTCACTCCCCGGCCGTCCTCACTCCCCGTCCGTCTCACTCCCCGTCCGTCCTCGCTCCCCGTCCGTCCTCACTCTCCGTCCGTCCCCACTCCCCGTCCGTCCTCACGGTCTGTCCGTCCTCACTCCCCGGCCGTCCTCACTCCCCGTCCGTCTCACTCCCCGTCCGTCCTCGCTCCCCGTCCGTCCTCACTCTCCGTCCGTCCCCACTCCCCGTCCGTCCTCACGGTCTGTCCGTCCTCACTCCCCGGCCGTCCTCACTCCCCGTCCGTCTCACTCCCCGTCCGTCCTCGCTCCCCGTCCGTCCTCACTCTCCGTCCGTCCCCACTCCCCGTCCGTCCTCACGGTCTGTCCGTCCTCACTCCCCGGCCGTCCTCACTCCCCGTCCGTCTCACTCCCCGTCCGTCCTCGCTCCCCGTCCGTCCTCACTCTCCGTCCGTCCCCACTCCCCGTCCGTCCTCACGGTCTGTCCGTCCTCACTCCCCGGCCGTCCTCACTCCCCGTCCGTCTCACTCCCCGTCCGTCCTCGCTCCCCGTCCGTCCTCACTCTCCGTCCGTCCCCACTCCCCGTCCGTCCTCACGGTCTGTCCGTCCTCACTCCCCGGCCGTCCTCACTCCCCGTCCGTCTCACTCCCCGTCCGTCCTCGCTCCCCGTCCGTCCTCACTCTCCGTCCGTCCCCACTCCCCGTCCGTCCTCACGGTCTGTCCGTCCTCACTCCCCGGCCGTCCTCACTCCCCGTCCGTCTCACTCCCCGTCCGTCCTCGCTCCCCGTCCGTCCTCACTCTCCGTCCGTCCCCACTCCCCGTCCGTCCTCACGGTCTGTCCGTCCTCACTCCCCGGCCGTCCTCACTCCCCGTCCGTCTCACTCCCCGTCCGTCCTCGCTCCCCGTCCGTCCTCACTCTCCGTCCGTCCCCACTCCCCGTCCGTCCTCACGGTCTGTCCGTCCTCACTCCCCGGCCGTCCTCACTCCCCGTCCGTCTCACTCCCCGTCCGTCCTCGCTCCCCGTCCGTCCTCACTCTCCGTCCGTCCCCACTCCCCGTCCGTCCTCACGGTCTGTCCGTCCTCACTCCCCGGCCGTCCTCACTCCCCGTCCGTCTCACTCCCCGTCCGTCCTCGCTCCCCGTCCGTCCTCACTCTCCGTCCGTCCCCACTCCCCGTCCGTCCTCACGGTCTGTCCGTCCTCACTCCCCGGCCGTCCTCACTCCCCGTCCGTCTCACTCCCCGTCCGTCCTCGCTCCCCGTCCGTCCTCACTCTCCGTCCGTCCCCACTCCCCGTCCGTCCTCACTGTGGCCCCTCATCCTCGCTCACTGCAGGCCACTGGTCCTGGCCATGGCCGTCCGTCCTTCCCGCAGCCCGTCGGCCCACTTACTGGTGTCTAGGAGATGCTTTTGCTGCGCACGGCTGCTGACAGCTGTCTGGTAGCTGCGTTGAACCTGCTGAAGAAGTGGGCGCCTTGTAGGACATCCGCTCTCGTAGGAGCCCCAGGCTCTGCAGGGGATGGCGAGGGGAGCGGAGGGCAGCACCGTGGAGGGGCACTGAGGAGAGCACGGCCCAGCCCCTGCAGCCCGACGGCCCAGCTCGCCCTCCCCCTTCTCCGTAGCATCCGAATTTGTAGGGCTGTGCTGTAGAGACAGGCGGTGCTGCCGTGCCCGGAGTGTTCCTCTACGGACCGCCAGTCAGCAGGGCAAGGGACAGTGTGACATGGCAGCCCACGCGCCAGGAGCGGATATGCCAAGGCCCTGAGGCTGTCCGCGGCGTGACAGCGGTGTGCGCCCCTCGCCTGTAGCTCGTGAGCCGTGTCTGAGCGGGGATGCCGGTGGGCCTGGCTGGGGAGATCGAGAGGGGCCCGGGACGGCAGCGCGAGGCCTCGCTGTGAGTGACGTCTCTGCAGCTTTCCTGTCTCTAAGGAAAGTGCGAAATGTCACCGCCAGCAGGTGGCGTGGCTGTTACTCGCTGGACTCCCACGTGGCCGACTGCGGTTTCAGGCTGGGCCCAGTGGCTGGGTACGTGTGTGTGCATGCCCAAGGTCCTGGGAGAGACCGGAGGAGACGGGATTGTTCATGGCCAAGCCCCCAGGGGATGATTTCTCACTTTCCCTCTCACTGTCTCTGTCTCTGTCTCTCTCCCCCCCAGCAAGTCACATGCCCTAAGACAAAAATCCCTACGAAAAAGAAAGTGTAAAGTGTCCTTATTGCTCTGAGAAACGGTCGTTACTCGCGGGTATTTCTTCACGAGTGTGGGTGAGAGCTCGTCCCCTCCCGCACGTACTGGGCCAGCGTGTCCCCTGAAAGCAGTTCTCACCCTTACAGAATGAAGCCATCTTTCTAGTCAGACATGAGCAGGCAGTAGGCGAGCAGCCGCTCGGCACACGGCGCACGGCACACGGCGCATGGCGCACGGCGCACGGCAGTGCCACGCTGATGGGCGTGCGGGACCGCGCGTTAGCGTACTCAGCTCGGCGTTTGGAGGGCGTTCGTGTTCGTGGCAACCCACCTCCGTTTTCGTGATGGGAGATGGTGGGTGGATCAGACCCCGTAATTTAACAGTTCTCCTGTTTCGGGGATCGAATGGGACTTTGTTGGGCTGAAGTCACCGTCCCTCTAACGAAGCAGCTTTGAGTTTCAGACCCCCCTGAGGTACACGAAGACGCTGCTGCTCCCGGCCGTTCTCGTAGTGTTCTTCGCCATCATGAGGAAGGTACGTCTGCCCGCGAGCTCGCCCTGACACAGATCGCCGTCTTCCCGTGACCGCGACACACACGTGGCGCCACGTCCCTCTGACAGAGGACTTGGCGTGGGTTTACTGAGACGCATTCTGTGCTTTCTCCCTGGTAGTCTCTGATGGACTCTCAGAAGTCTCAAACATACTCTCTGTTTGCCATCGTAAAGGAGTCCCAGGGAGCGGGGACTCGGGCTTTGAAAATCAGGTATTTTTGAAGATGTGACCGGAGACCGGATTGACCGGGCTCTGGCTTTGCCTACGTGCATTGCTAGCGATTCCTTCGAACCCTTACTTAAAATTTCCCAAGCATTTCTCGGTTATCCGTGCAGGTTTAATAACTCCTGGATCATTCGTACCAGCCTAAAGGGAAACAGAATACGGACCGGGCATCGGTGATCGGTGAACTCGGTGCACTCGGTGCACTCGGTGCAGCGTTCTGCCCTCCGCCTGGTGGGCTGGTGAAGTCTGAGCCAGATGTGAATCAGCCCCGCGGAGCCCAGCCTTCAGTGAGGAAGGGCCGGTGTGGTGGTCGCTTTTCCTTTAGTTTGTGAATCTGTAGCTTCTAGCTCTCTAGAGAGCAGGTGGACCGTGACCTGTTAGGAAGGCGTGCCAGGCCCTGCTGTCTCGGTGCGCGTCGTGTTTCCTGTGGGCACTGGAGATGCATCTCCACGCTGCGTGCTTGTCCTGTGCGTCCCTCACCGGGGCATGGCCAGACGTGTGTCAGAGCCCGGAGGGGTGGACAGGTGTTAGCATTCCCGTTCCAACAGATGGAACTGGAGGTCAGAGGGGCTGGCCTGACGCCCGTCACCGAGCAAGGCAAGGGGGTCCTCGGGCGCTGCTCTGACCACCTCCAGGCATCCTGGCGCTCGGCTCTGACCCACTCAGAGCTGCTCCACTGGGACCTCGTCAGTCTCAGCTGGTCCTGCCATGGCTTTGCGCCTCATGGGTTTTTGGAACATTCTAGATGTTGGTCATGCAGAAGGGCTCAAAGACAGCAGCGGGATGGTGAGAGACGGTGGACCTTGTTCCCGGGGCTGTTAGTTTTGAGGAAGAAAAGATTCAAATGGAGCAAACGATCATTATTGTTAAATATTTAGAAGCTCGCCCCCTTGAAAATAGGATTATACTCACTCTGCTGCTTAGAACTCTGGCCAGAATGAGTCTGGACTGGGAGCAGGAAAGTGGGGGCCCGGGGTGGCTGGGTGGCTCTCTGGGGCAGGATTACCTGTGTCTGCAGTGTCACAGGGGACAGCCACACCAGGGGCAGGGTGTCAGGTAAGGAACGTCCAGTTCCTGCTAAGTATGGATGCACGGTGAGTGTCCCTGACACGTGTGCTGGCCGGGGCTGCGTGTCCCTGAGAGCAGTGTGGCCGGCAGCGCTGGTGTGCTCGGACCCAGAGGCACCGTCCCCAGCGCAGCAATGCTTCTGAGTCGCTGCCCATCCGCAGAGGCGGCTTAGTCCACCTGCGCCCCGGCTGCTCACAGTGTGGGCCGGGTGCTCTTCCTCGCAGGGCGGGAGTGCGGGATGCAGCCTGCCCTGTGCAGGTGTACAGCGATGCCGCGGCTGCTGTCTTCTGAGTTCTCTTTCCTCTCCTATTTTCAATTAGGGTCTTAAAGTTCTGAAGACTTTTTTTTATTTTTTAAGTTTTTACAGTTTTATTTCAAGTAAAAGTGCATTTCTTTAAAAAACATTTCCCAGTTTCAACTACCAAGTGATAATGTTTTCCTTTTTTTAATATTAATACACTATACATCATTACAGTATACAAAATGAATTTTCCATCCAAAATACACTGTCTGTAGACTCTATCATGCACATCAACATACGTGTTATCGACAATTTTCCATTTCTTATGTCTTATATATTTTGCTTTTTTTTCTCTCTTTTTTTTTTTTTTTTTTGCCTTCTT